TTTGTACCAAATATCTCCCAGTTTCTAGCCTGATAGCATAATCATTACACCAAACTGGTTGTCTAATGACTTGTTACCATTTTGATAATTTGTCCGATTAATGGTCACTTTATTATATTTTTATTGTGGTAACTTGTAAATTTCCTTGCCTCATTAATTCCCCCTCCCCTGCCATTTTATCTATCTATCTATGTATCTATCTATGTATCTATCTATCTATCTATCTATCTATCTATCTATCTATCTATCTATCTATCTATCTATCTATCATCTATTTGAAAAATATCTTTAAACTTATATTGTGATTTTATTATAATCAACATCCTGTTCTACCCTTTATTGCTTACTTTCAGTGGTTCATTTCTACTTTATGAATTTAGTTTTTAATTTGAAAAATTATTACCTAAGAAATTATTTCCCCATTTATTCACATACTTCATACCATGTTGCAAAATGTTTTCATTTTGGAAATGCTTTGAATTTGAAATTAGATTCATTTGTCTACTGATTGGAATAACCTGTAAGCCCAATACACGCATCAGTTGTATCATGTTCAAAATGGTTTGTTCCAACCTTTGGGGAAGAATGCCAGTTTTACTATCCTTCTGGACACAGCAGAGGAACCATACCAACATCCATTATAAACCCATCATCAAAGCATACACACACGGTACTGTGCAAAAGTGTTAGCCAAAAATGATGTTAAATTAAGAATGCTTAGTGTTAATTGTTTTTTGTTAATGAACAAAATGGAAGGTAAATGAACAGAAGAGAAATCTGAATCAAATCAATATTTGGTGGGCCACCCTTTGCCTTCAAAAACAGCAACAATTCTTACATTTGTACCCTTGTGCAAAGTCAGGGATTTTGTAGGATTAGAGTCAGATGTTTGATTAACCAATTATACCAAGTAGATGCTAATGATCATCCATTTCTTATGTAGGTTGAAACACAGTCATTAACTGAAACAGAAACAGCTGGGTAGGAGACTTAAAATTGGGTGAGGAACAGCCAAACTTTGCTATTAAGATGAAGTTGTGGAAGACAGTTTCATGTCAGAGGTCATAAACCGTGGTAAAACTGTCACAGGAACAAGACAAAAAGATAGTTACAGCCCATCAGCAAGATTTCCCCCAGGCAAAGATTTCGAAGCAGACTGGGTTTTCAAGATGTGCTGTTCAAGCTCTTTTGAAAAAGCACAAAGAAATGGGCAATGCTGAGGACTGTAGATGCAGTGGCCAGCCAGGGAAACTTAATGCAGCACATGAACCAGGTACACCCCCATCTAATGTCCAGAAGTGGTCTTCATGGAAGAATTGTGGCCAAAAAGCCATACCTACAATGTGAAAACAAGGCTAAATTGAATGATGCATGAAAACATAGGAACTGGGGTGTGGACAAAATGGCAGCAGGTGCTCTGGACTGACAAGTCAAAATTTGAAATATTTGGCTGTAGCAGGAGGCACTTTGTTTACCGAAGGGCTGGAGAGTGGTACAATAACAAGTGTTTGCAGGCAAGAGTGAAGCACAGTGGAGGTACTTAGCAAGTTTGGGACTGTATTTCTGCAAATGGAGTTGGAGATTTGGTGTCCTCCATGCTGAGAAATACATGCAGACACTTATCCATCAGGAAGCTGTGTGATTGGCCCCCAATTTATTCTGCAGCAGGACAATGGCCCCAAACATACTTCCAATGTCATTAAGAACTATCTTCAGCGTAAAGAAGAAGAAGTCCTGAAAGTGATGGATTGCCCCCCCCCCCGAGCCCTGATCTCAACATCATCAAGTCTGTTGGGGATTACACGAAGAGACAGAAGTATTTGAGACAGCCTACACCTACAGAAGATCTGTGGTTAGTTCTCTAAGATATTTGGAACAACCTTGAAAGAACCTTGCTGGTTCCTTCAAAAACTGTGTGCAAGTGTATGTAGAAGAATTGATGATGTTTTGAAGGCCAAGGATGGTCACACCAGATACTGATTTGATTTAGACTTCTGTTTACTTTCCATTTTGTTTTAACCATTTTTATTTGGTATGTACGTATGTAAGTATGACGTTTACAGTCTGTATTCGACGAGTGAACTTCATTCTAGTCCCGTTGTTAGAATCGAACGATGCATCTCCTGAAACCATACGAATTTCCTCTGAGGGAGGTGAATTACAAGGTGTTCCTAAATCTAGTGTTACTCATGAAACACCACTCAAGTGGGTAAACAGAATCTTGTTACGTTTGCTTTCCACCTTTGATTTTTTTTAGAATACTCCATCACTTGCTTGATGTCTGAAGAGTGTTCACTTTTTATAGAATCATAGAGCAGGAAAGCAGTTTGGAAGTGTCTAGACCCAAGAGTCTAGGACAGGGGTAGGCAACCTTGGCTCTTTTATGACTCATGGACTTCAACTCCCAGAATTCCTAAGCCAGCCATGCATTGTTTCCCCTTTGCTCCCCCCCTCCCTGCAAATCTTGCTCTCTCCCGTAACCTGTCACCAATCTCATCCCCCTCACAGCCCCCTTGGTCACCGTTCCCAGCGCCATCGTTGCTGTCTGCCACCCGATTGGCTGGTGCCTTCTTGTCCCGTGGAGCGAAACACCCAGGACAAAGGGTGTCTGGGCGAATGGGCCAGGCTAAACATCAAGGGGTGGAGGGCCAGGAGACCATTGGCCAGGGAGAATCATAGGGGGAGGGCCAGCAGAAGAGGAAAGCTGGCTGTGAATGGGCTGAGGTGGGTGGCTGGAGGTGAAATGAGTGTGGCCAATGGTGGGATCCTAAAGGTCCCAAGCTGCTGTCCAAGGGGTTTTATTGCATCCCAGACAAATGGCGGTCTAATCTGTTCTTGAAAACCTCCAGACCTTATGTAGATCAAATAACTGCTCTGTACCACCCTTAAGGATTCTACATATAGGTTCCCATAAAGGCCTCCCTCATACTACCCCTAAATTTTACAATGGTTCAGATTGGAACTAGAAGGAAATGAATTACGTGGAAGTCACACCTACAAGAGTCAGAGCAAATTCCTTGAGCACGGTTTTTCCTTACAGATTTCTCCTTTAAACGGTCAGTCATCTCTAATAATTACTGCCAGGTGATCTTTGAGCCAGCAGGTGTAGTATTTGAGAAACAGCTTCACACAAGTTCTATCTGCTATGTGGGAAATGCATAGACCAGGACTGCCATCTGTATCTGGGGCTGGTTACCTGAGCATTCACACAAATTGCACTCCTTTCCCCTTATATTTTTAGTTTTAGGATAATTTGGGAAGAGGCCAAAATCATAGACAGGAATACGTGTAGGAGACAATGGCTGCCCTCAACACCACTATTAAATCCTTGAGCATTAAAAGGCTCCAGATGACACTTTTGTGTAAATGACAAAGCTACGTTTGTGAACGCAGAAGTGACCACAGTTACAAGTAAACAACCAGTCCTTTTTATTCTGTGAAAAACACCTAATTCCTGGGTTACATTGCTGGAACTTTGACAAGGAATGGGAGATCGTTTCCTAGGAACCAGCAAACTTTGGGGGATTAGTAGGGTGGT